GTTTAGGGTTTAGGGATTAGTCAGGGTTTAGGGATTAGGGTTTAGCTTCACCTTTCTTGGGGTTTGGGGTCTGGGGTTAATTAGGGTTCAGGGATTAGGGAGTAGGGTTTAGGGTCTAGGGGTTAATTAGGGTTTAGGGTCTAGGGGTTAATTAGGGCTTGGGTTGAGGGTCTAGGGATTAATTAGGGTTTAGGGACTAGGGTTTAGGGATTCATCAGGGTTTAGGGATTAGGATTCAGCATCTCAAGTCCAAGCATTTACTTGCTAAGCAACGCTATCTAACAATGTTCATATACCCACCTGCCCATTGGGTCCTAGATCATTAAGACACCTATACCCTAAACTCTAAATCTGTAACCTTAAACTCAAAGCCCTAACCCTAAACTCAAAGCCCTGAACCCTAAACTCAAAGACCCGAACCCTAAACTCAAAGCCCCGAACCCTAAACTCCGAGCCCTGAAGCCTGAACCTTAAACTCCAAGCCCTGATCCCTTAACCCTAAACTCTCAGCCCTGAAACCCAGACTGCGCAGCCCAGGGCTCCGGCCCTAGGATTCCAGCCTAGGGCTCGAGCCTTTCCAGCCTAGAGCCCTGAGGTTCCACCCATGACCTTGCCCATTAAGACCTTCCCCATTAAGACCTTCGCGCACGAAATCACGAACATTTGCTACAAGAAAGAGAGGCTTAGCTTGGCCACCTTTCTTGGGGGTCTAGGGTTTACTTACTGGCTCTTAGGAGGGAATCTGGGAGGGTAATATACAGGGATTGTATTAGGATTGATTCCATATTCCCTACGAGGAACCAGTAAGTTTAGGATTTGCAAGGGGTTTAGGCTTGAGGGATTTAAGGTATTTGGGGTTCAGGGTTTAGAGTTTGGAGCTTCCATTGGCTTTCTCAAAGTTATGCGATCCCTTTTACAGGGCAACGACCAGTAAAAGGCCTGTGGGAGGGACCCCCTTTTTGCCAGAAATACCCATGTAGATATTATGCAGGATTATCTGATCTCAAACTTACGAGTCCCCTCTTTCTGTGGGCCTTGTGCCTTTGCAGGAAGGATGTTGTTCTTCGTGTAGACAGGATCTTCTATCAGCAAAAACAGTCGAAAAGAGATGGGCCTTTCATCTTCATACCGAGTCCCGAACACACCGCAGAGTGCCCCTGGTTTGCCCAACAGTGTCCCGACAAAGACCCACTCGCAGAGTGCCCCGCAGCGCCACACCTCATTATTTCGCAAGACTTATCCGGAAGCTCAATCATGAAAAGTATTCTGGACCAAACGTTGGGGCGGGTGTGCTTAAAGTGTTTGTTCGGGTGGTCGTTTTGAGTTCTAAACTTTGCAGAATCCTCAATTCCTGAAAGCTCACGCTGGCCCATGCAAGCTGCCATGTTCGAACTGCTGAGGCTTGTCTGCCCTGGGTCGAGTCGGGGGCCCTGGCTGAGAATGCATGGCTTTCTCAAGGTCTGAAAAGGGTCATGGCATGCCTGACAAAAACACATCACATTTCCGGGATGTTGAAGTTGCCAGAACTGGCCTGTGCAAAGGTGGTCGGAGCTTTGGCAAGTGGCAAATGCGACCATGTGCCGTGCCTGTGGCTGCACAAGCTTCCCACATCTTTCAGTGTCCACTTGGCTCAGCCACAGCTACCTACTTAGCTGTCGTCTCTTGTCACGGCAATTGCTAGCAGCTAGCAAGCGTGCAGTGGCCATGGACAAGTTGCTCTGCAACAAACCTCATCGCTCAGGTACCGAGACTCGGCGCTGACCTGGCTCTTGAAAGACCGGTTGCTACCTCTGGGTGTAGGGATTTAAGGTTTAGGGATGCCCCCAATAATGGAGAACAACATGGAACATGAAATGGAGACTGGGGTTTTATAGGGGTTTATGGAATACGGTACCGGTCTTGCTATTGCTGAGCCTGGGCCAGGATGCCATCACTGGGAGCAGCGCGCGGGTGTGCATGGTTGCAGCAGTTCACCCTTCACATCCAGTGGAAACTGCTGCTTGTCTGATAAAGTTAGATATGAGTTAAGGGTTGCGGCACACATGGAAGTAGACATTGTGCAGTAGCAGGAAGTGAAGCTGGCTTTAGATGTGATCTCCTGTTGGAAGTCGGGTCAAGCCAAGCTAGTAATGGCTGCCGTGGTCTCACCTCTTTCATGCCTGATCGAGTGCTGTAGCACATAAGACCTCAAAGCTATGGCCGTCGTATGGGTGGCCTGGGTGGGTTCTTGGAATCATACCCATGGAGTCGCTGATACATACTGCCCCGAAAATTCACTCATAATCCCCATACCCTATCCTATGGTTCATACTAAAAATCCTGCATGACGTTAATATACTGCAACAGTGTCCTTAAGGCATGTGGTGCTTGGGGTCATGAAGGATTTTCAGTATCCGTGCTAAACCTTTATCCCTAAACCTTATATATCCCTCTAGAACCCCAATATATCCCTATAGAACCCCCATGTCCCCTACATCCCCTTTAACGGGAACCAACAATTTTGCGCCGTACCAACAGGCCAGTACCTTGCGCTACGCACGTCAGTATTCTGCTTTGCAGAATACAACTGGCAGCCATGCCTCGCAGTTGTCTTCGCAGGCACGCTTAGGGTTTGGGGACTATGTTTAGGGGTTTATGGATTAGGGTCTTGGGAGTTTGAAGGGTTTTGGGTTTAGGGATTAGGGGTCCCTTTTGGGTGTCCCTATAGCCAGGATTATGGAAACTTCCAACGGACACAACTACAATT